TATGAGCTGAATTACCCGCCTGATTTATTTCCAAAGTGTTAAGTGCACTAACAATTGTATAAGCTCTGTACAGACAGGCGGTGTTGATTGTGGCTGATGTGCTATTGTATCTTCTTGTAATCCCTTAATGTTTTTTTTTTTTTTTTTTGTTTTCGCCTGCCAAGCATTGTAAACGGTTGATAGGGCCACGTCAAGCAGAGTTAATCTGCCTTTTGCCCTGTTACCCTAGAACTATTGTCTAAATTAAACCAATTTAACGAGCAGTGGAGGTGAAAAGAAGTAGGACATCGCTTCCCCCGCCCACTCTTCAAGCTTTGCGCGGGGCTACGCCATTGGTCGCCCGCGAAATAGCATTAGACCAAAGCTGCGCCCAGTTCCTGACACTGCCTCCCATGATATTGCAACAGTGCACTCGGTGGCTGTGGGCGGTGAGATGGTGGCTGTGCATCAGCGCAGTTTGCTAATCCGCTTGTCCGCGCTATGCAGGTTTTGGCCTCTGTCATCACCCATGAGCTGTTCTCTTCTCTGCTGTCTGATTCGTTGATCATAACTCCACGGCTTTCACTTTGATGCCCCCGAAAAAAACGTATGAGGTTGCAATTTACCACCATTCAACACGTGATCACTGTGCTACTGGACCTTGGAAACAAGTTGGAAAGCTTTCGCTGCAGAACCCTCTGAGTTTGATCCCCACTCCCTGTCCGTTTCGACGTGGATGAGTTTCGTGCCGACACGCGTTCCGGTAATCACTACTGCTTGGTGCACGTTAAAGACCCCTGGTTAGCGGTTGTACTGCACTGGCTAAATTCGTTATCTACAGCTAAGAGACAAGCCACCCGTTGGGGCATACTATCATCAAGGCTGCCTAAGTATGCAGGCAACCCAACTTTCGCGGAACTCTGGGGGCTCGGTGTCTGTGCATCAGCGGATTTCACTAATCCGTTTGTCCTCGCCATGCATGTTTCTAAATGATATGGACATTTTATTCAAAATTCCATGAATTGCTTCTTTCAGTGCAGCTGCCGAGCACGCAGTGTTTCGTTTCCATCTCCACCGAATGTGTTATTCTCATTCTTTCCTTGCTCTCGTTGACGGGCGACGTTGAAGCTACCTCAGGATGTCTCACTTCAGGGGATTTGCTGGCATAGCTGCAGAAGCTAACAACAGTACAAATCCAACTAATTTTTGATTTGATAGGGCTCGAAAGTCAACATGAAACCGGCAAAAAAAAATACCCATCTGATCTCATCAAAAGATGTCAATACTAGAGAGCCATTGTGAAAACCTTGCGAAATTGCGAACATATCTTGACACCATTTGAGCCGACACCGCCCAGACGGGTGGTCAGGTCAACGATCTGGAGGCGCGTCTGGACGATGCCGGGAATTGTTTGCGCCGCAATAACTTGATATCTTAGAGTTTCCTGATCTTTCCTCATCTGACACCTTTGCCCAATCGGAACAAAGAATACTTCAACATTGCTCTGATATGTTGAACGTTACTGGAGCCCTTCGAAAATAAAGCGTGGACACCGTCTCGGGCGCAACACACCTAACCGCTGCCGTCGAATGTTTGTAAATTTTCCATTCTTCAAAAAGTTTGGTAAATAAAGCGAATAATTCCAGCAATTGTGAAGACTACCTGTTCAGAAAGTAAGGAATCATCCAGTTGATTTTGATAGAACTAAATCATCACCATTTTCATTGCACTTTAAGACACTAATCATTAACCAAGAACACCACATAATCTATGAGATCTCACAATTGTTAAAAAACAGGCATAGCATTTGCATCCTCAAAAACAATGAACAAAAACCACCCACATTCTCGCTCTGTATCAAGTGTTTCGCTCTCAGTAATATCCACTGTACTTCGTTTCACCTTACGTTTTGACGCAGCCGCTGCTACGAGCTGATGGGACCAATCAGAAGGCATGAAAAGTGCACCATCATGGTGTTGGTCTCATTTCTGTACGTGTTCTATTATCTCTGAACCAGTCGGAAACAGGAAAGCTCAAGTGACTTGCGCTTTTGGCGCTGCCTGATTGGAACCGTTCCCTCGTAGCGCCCGTTGCGTCCGGACTTAAGCTAAAATGAAGTATAATATACGCAGTTTTTTTTCGGAACGAGAAATTGTGTAAAACCTCATGTTATTATCAGATAGCAATATACTGACACTAACTGAAACACGGCTGACTGGCGACCTCACTGGTGCTGAGGTCTTAAATTGCTTTTCAAATTTTATTATTTTCCGAAACGATTGTAAAGGCGCGCAAACGGAAGGTATTTTCATTGAGCAAGAACATTTCGTGCTCTCTGATCAACATTGCATTAAACCACAAAATAATATGACTCCTCCATCCTGTGATGCTGAGTGTCTCCTATAAACCCAAACACGGCTATTGCGATTTTTCACTTAAGCTTAACTACACCTTAACCCAACTCACCATGGAAAACCCCGACGCGCAGATCCTTTAATGTCGGAGACTTTAATAACCCGATTATCGACTGGACAAGCCCGACACCTTTAACTATATATAACGGAGAAATAAGAGAGAAAATTGAGTCTTGCCTCAACTTTAACCTTACTCAAATGATATCGGGTGGTATCGCTCGAAGAAATCTGAGAAGCTACCGATAGAAAAAAAGAAGCCCAGTAACACTTATTAACAGAAAATTCAAACTGGATGCCAATCCGAGGGTTTGAAGACAACGATAATAGCACCGGTTTGCAACCGAGTCTATCGTCATCTGTTGTCCTGATTCCGCCCAATTTAGATTCTACCATGTATATCGCAAATTCTAGAAAAAACAAGTTTTAGCATGCATGAGACGTTTTCTTGAGAAACACTGGATCTTTTCTTCGCAGTACGGTCGTGTTGTTGGGCGAGGGAAAACGTCCCTAGAAGACGCGTTCTATTTGCTTTCGTCTTGCGTCTTTTGGTCCTATTTGCGTCCTGATTGTTAATAGTGCAAATTCATTTAACTCCGTTAATAAAAAAAGAGAACGCAGATTAACAGTCTGCACCATGTCGGATTCAGAGGTCCTTATTTTCATATTTCTTAAAGATTGGTTACTATCACGTCCGCAATTTGTGTAGTTCTGAGGCGTTCGTAGTTCAAACGTCCCTCTGAACTTTCGAGTCCGGCAGGGCTCTATCCTGTCCCGTATCTCATTCCGTATTTATGTGAACGGCATCTCGGCAGTTGCCAATACTAAAATATTACAATATGAAAGCAACACTGTTATTTACCAGTTACACTAATATTGAAATTGCCAACTAAATGCTAAAAACTTATGCAATCGCGTTCATGAACTGTTTTAAAGAAAATTTTAAAAGTGTGAAATCTTCAACTGAGCTTGTTTGCATTCGTAGCCCCTGAAAAAAATCCAGTGTTTAACAGTTATTTCTGCGCGACTCTAACTGTCACCCACATAGCTATATCTATCAGTCAGTATGTTCCTTCAATTAAATACTTTAGGATCATTTTCTGTTTTCGACATAATTTTTTACACACCCTAGTGCAGCGTAACTTTTGAAATAGTGATTTTAAGACGGAGAGTATTGCCCCCCGTGCATAAATAAGCAAAACGTTTTTTTTTTTTTTTAATTTCACGAATAATATGTACTCGCCACATAAAACTTGTGATGAGGTGTTTTTTTTTTTTTTTGTTACAAGGATTTGAACGCCTTTCCAGATTACACGTTTCTATCGAAGTCTAAATTGCACTCCAAAAACACTTGAAGAAATTGTAGAATGTTCGGGAAAACATTTCATAAGTTTAGCGCCATCAGTTCACTTGATGCTTTATTGTTACTAAAGTGAAGTATGTGCTTCCACCGCCCGGTACACGCCACACAAGCATTACATTGGCTTAGGCACACCTGCTTTTTTGTTTTGCCCTATTTGCTGTATAAACTTGTTATTAATATTGTATTTACTATTCATGTGTTATTTACCGCTCAGTCACTAACGCGTTTGACCAGACTACCACCAATATGATTTTAACAAATAACAACAGTGGTTCTTACATTGGCTAATGAAACTTAATTCTAACGAATCAGGTTGTTGTTTCTTTCGCCGCCGCCACCTCCATGTGTTCGTATATGCCATCGCCAACATCTCTGATGAACTAGTGGCATCCTATAAATACTTTGGTGACACACATTGCAGCAACTTATCGGGGCACACGCATATCACCAACATTACCGCATTTGAAAACAGAGCACTGGGATTCCGGAAGCATCGCGACCACACCCCTTAACACGTAAAACTACTGGCCCAAAAAATAACTCGTACGGTTAAAGCTAGAATACGCGTATTCTATTTAGAGCCCATATCAAGTCTATCTTAGTAACGCAGTCAAAGCCCTACTTAATTGCGCCACATAATACATGCATTCATCCTTTTCCTACAATTCAGCGCATCATCATCGAAACGTGGGACACCTTGGCCTATCAAATATTTCATGTCGTAACCACACCGTCAGCCTGTTTATTTCATAAGTTTTGTTATTCTTCGCTCGCCCATGCACCGGGCATTACAGCCCCTGCTCACATACCACAAAGTAAAGATCGTGCACTTCAAATTCCTCGTCCACGCCGCCGAACCACTACCTCGCTCACCAAATTTCTTCCCTGCACAGGTTCGGATCGGAACGTCTTTTTTCATCAGATTGCTGCCATCACCTTCCCATCAACGTTTATTGAACACGACACCCACCACATAATAAATAAAACAATATGTGGCATGGACGACATTTCTCGTCTCATATCCACCCTTTATGTAATGCCTTCCTGTTCTTCAAGAAAATGAAGTGATTGATTGATTTCTATTGTGAACAGAATACGAGCAAGAAAGATCCGTACAGGGCTCCCAGAGAGAGCAATCACTTTAAAGCAAATGACATGGCCAAATCACTGAATCAGAAAGAAATAAAAGGTGACAAAAGTGAATAGCCATTACTTAAAAATAAGCGCAGTATGGCGAGCAAACTCACCGGTAGGAAGGTACAGGAAATCCTTGTGCAGCGCACGCAAGTTCAACAATATCCTGTCCTTCAACAGCAAGGACAACTGGGTGAGTGTCCGTCATCCTGGGGGCGACGGCGCCTTGAGGAGCTGTGGAAAAGATGCAATCAAATAGCGCCGTAAAGCAAGATTGTACTTGTATGCTCTTTACTGTTGTTGAAATATTAAACTTGAGAAGTAGGAGCTTTTTTTTTTTCTTTTTCATTAAAACATTCTAAACATTTGTATCTAATTGCCCAGTTTTTTTCCACTGAGGGGCAGCATTAATCTATAGCAGCATGCGTCTGTAACTGCAGATAACTCTCGCAGAGAGTCGTATATAATTGAGAGAGTTTACCATTTTTCAGCTTTATTAATTCAAAATTTATGTGCCAGCTCACTTATTATATTACTTTTTTCTCTTCTAGCGCCGTGACTACCAACTGTCAAGTAACCAATGTCACTTACGACGTGAACTCAAATTTAAGCAATACATTATTGCTTAAAAAACACCAATAAAAGCTGATTTTTATTGACGCTTGCACATTATATTAAATGTTAGTTCGAGCGGCGTCTTGCCTACGGCTTTTGAAATTGTTAATGCTTCAATCGTATTGGCCATAGCAAACACAATAGCCATAGATGATAGCGATGATACCTTGAATGATGAGCCTTCCTGACGAGGCACTGGTGACCACTTCACCGGTGAGGCGGTGCTTCGTTTTGCAGTGGTAGCTTCCTAGCCTGTCGCTGGGTCCAGCATTCCTAATATACAGTTCGCCTGTAGGAAGAACGCTGTATTTCCCTGCAACAACAAACAAATCATAAATGTAATATGCTTTCTATAATTGCTAGTGTGGAAGCAGATGTTCAGTCTATCAGCTGCACAGTTTTGCTCACTCAGCCTTTGTAGCCTTTCTTTTAATTCATCAGCAAAGAAGCAACCAAAAACAGCACCTAATTTGTAAAACACGTAATTAGTAGAATGGAAAGTTGGGCTAGTTGGTAGGAATCCATATTGAAAACAGCGCGAATAACACACGGACAAGGAGGAGAGAACACACGCCTCGTCCTGTGTGTTCTCTCCTCCTTGTCCGTGTGTTATTCGCGCTGTTTTTGAATACGTAATTAGTGGCTAAGCTCGTTTTTCCTTATATGAGGTACTATATTCCGTTTAAATTTAACATGGCCATTGGTGAGGCTACAGTCCGATGGAGCAAATTAAGCAGCGCTCATTTTCTTTGTGAGTTTCTTATCTACGGCTAGACCAATCAACCACAGAACAAAACGCAGCACTGCACCTCACAGTACGTCATTGGTTTGTTCAATAATAGAACACGTGCAAAGAAACATATGGAACACCGTGGCGTTTTGTTTTTGGCAGTGCTTTATTTGTTCCATCGGAACGCAGCGGCCGATGCGCTCAGATTTGTGAAACAGAATAAAGCTCAATATTTTAAGGTTTTCAATTACGCCGATCGGGGCAGAACGACATATATTGACACTTAATGTTGTGCCTCACTTGCGCACATTCGGTTTCTTTAATTTTGCTGAAACTCTTTCAGGAACAAGAGAAGATAAAAAAACCAGTAACACCCGTGTTAGGTTTGTCCATGACGGGCTCTACACTTACCCCAGTAGACCATTATGAACGCATCAAAATTAATATAAATTACTGAGGTAAAAACAGCGCAACTGGGCAAGGACGGAGAACAACAGACAAGACTCAGCACAGATTGCCAACCGATTGTTTGTTTTGTTTTCAATTAACATATATACACGTAAGCGACGCAATAAAAGAGTGGATTGTTTTGGCGCGTTTTAAGTGCATATATAATGGGCGAAACGAAATGAAACTATCAGTTTATCGTCACCGTTTAGACCCGTCTGTTCTTGTTCTCCGTCTTTGTCCAGCTGCGCTGTTTTCATTTCAAAATGTCAAATATTCAGCTAGCCCCAACAAACCTTTTAGCGAACTTTTATTAATTTCTCGCGCAAAAGCGAGGGAGAAGGAGGGACATAAAAAAATTAACAATTTGAGTGCCCCTTTTTTGTTCTTTTCTTGGTTCCATACACAAGCATCGGTTTTTTCATCCAGCTCCTCTTGTTTAGGGCTAAGGTTTCATAAAAATAAATTCTACAAAATGTGTATCACAGCAAAATACCTCTATCAAAGAAAGGTAAGTGCAGAAAGAAGTTGATACAAAGTGAATGTGAGTAAAAAAAAAACAGCGACGAATAAGATTAAAAAAAAGTGCAAAAACGAAGTTTGCACAACAGCTGGAAATGTATTTGACAAAAGAGTAATCTTAAAAAAAGCCTGAGCTCGGAGACAAGAAAGAACAAAAAAGACAAAAAACACAGAACATGCAGTTTACTCCACTACCCATTTTGCGCACGTCACCTTCGGAACACTTAACACAACCAAATAGATAAGATACTTATTTTTGCTTTCTCCACGAACGCACTGACATGTAAGACACAGGTCAAATCTGTAGAAACCTGAATTTCAATTCTACAGCATAGAAACGTAAGTTCAATGAGTGTGCATGACAAACCCATGAAAGCAAATTCAAAGTTGACATGCTTGATTCCTGGCTAGATTTAGCTGAAAAACCCGCATTTGTGAAGGAGTCTCCATAAATTTATCTTCCCTCTTTATTTACAGGGAAGTGCCCCAGCTAAGGTTTGCAGAACTTAGCGTGACTGCCGGAAACATTCACACAAGCACCGAGCCAAGGTCAAAACGCGGTGCGCCTTCTGTATGTCCTGTCTTATCTGCAAAACTAGAAAACCCTATATTTAAGTTAATTTTCTTACTTGATAAGTAGTAAACTTTCCACCATTAATGTAGTTCAGTCTTCTGTGAATAAACCTCGCAATTTCGATTACCTCCGGCAAACATCGACAGTGGTTCTTGAAAACTGGTCCATCGTGCATTTCCAGCACATTCTTTAGAAACAGTTCAGCGAAACATTGGCCAGACACGCCGCGAACAACTCGCAAGAGAAAAATGATATCGTCGGGCAGAGGACCACGTTCCTCAAAGAAGTCAACGCAGGACATCCCCTCGACCGACGTTTGCAAGGTCTACGTGGCGTCGGGCCGCTGACGCCTTAATGGCCCTATGATTTATTCAAACACGGTCATCGTACTCGGCCATTTATCAAGCGTCGCGGCTTCTATGATGGATGTCCGTACGCGGGCGTTGATGTGGAGTTGGGGGGTGGCTTCGGTGAGCCGTGGAAGTTGAGAGGGAGATCGTGTTTGGTCGTTTGCCGAGGTTTGACTTTGGTGCTGGCTTAGCGTCTGCATCGTGTACGCGGTAGCGGTTTCGGATCGATCGACACGGCGGAAGCGATTGTTCAGAATTTGAAGATTTTATTGCCTGATAAAGAGGTATGCTGGAGCATGATGCCAAACGTATACAACGTTGTAGTTACGGACACATACATGAATGCAGGCTTGAAAACATTAATCGCAAAGCAAGTAGCGCGTTCACTATAGTCTATGTTTTAGTTTTCAAAGTTCTCACTGACTAATAACTATATTACCGCTGACAACTAAAGAAACGCAGAGCGCGGCTTCTATCTTCAGGCTCCTTCCTTTGTAATACTAATGTAATACTAATGCGGAAATTTTATCGGCTACAGATCGTTAGTGAAATCTAAAACAATTCTATTTTGAGAAAAAAAATTATCTTCAATCTCTTTAATCGTGTTTATTCGGCCTCTAGGCTTGCGAATATCAACATTATACTTCAGTTTTATGCGCCAAGCAGCCACAGCAGTGCTTTTCAAAATAGCGTTGAAGCTCTCCTTCTCGTCGCGTTCGGTGCATGGAGGGAATCGTGACGTATTCTACAGAGATCTCAACATTATTCTAGTGGTAAAAAGGGCTCAAGGGCACAAATACGCTAAAATTGTGAATTTCCAGCACGTTCTTTAGAAACAGTTTAGCGAAACACAAATACGATAACTCGTATTCTTCTGAACCTCTTCAGCTTCCCTTTATGATGCTCAGAATTTTTCCAGGCCTTGCATTTTTTACGCCGTCAGTGAATATAGTGCGCCAAGACATCTTAAGAAAGATGCATGAAACCGACACAAGAATTTAAATAACCTTCACGTTCAAAAGTCGTGTAATATATTTTGAATATTAAACGTTGTGTAGAACTGATGAATTCAAGTCCTTTTTGCAACTGCCCAGCACTATCGTTCCAGTGCTTTCAAAATATTTTTTAAATGTTTTGGTAAGCAGACGCCTATCTATATCATGCCCACTCCTCGTTCATAAAATGTATATGGCCGTTGTCTTGGTGTTAATACAATACACCAGTTGAAAAAAAAACTGTAACCGCGCAATTTCGTATCCTACTAGAATCCAGATTTTACCATCATGATGTAACGTGCTCCAGATTGTCGGAATGTTGACCATTATTACATTGCCTTATTTTTTGTGCGCTTCAAGCCAGCTGATTAAAATACAATAGGAAACTTTTTTTGAGTATTAAGAGTCAACCAAAGCTCCATTTTATTTGCATGATATCTAGACTTTTTCATCGGTCACTGCTAATTTGACATATTTGATAATTAACTTTTGTTATGCGACTTGACGTCTTCAATTAAGAGCAAACATGACGTCAGTGTTGGAAGCAGACCGATACCTCTTCCTCTTTCTTTTTACACTATTTTTGAGTGAGACAGCACAACATTCATACGTTTTGGCATTTATGTACCATAAACTGCATATACAAAAGTGATAACGAGCGCTAAATTTGAAGCCTGGGCGAGTTGGTATGACATACTTAAAAAGTTAAAAGGGTTTTTTGCGCTGTTTTAATTTTTTAAGTATGATAACGAGCAATGCAAACCTGACTTGCCAAATCAAACGTCCGACCTGCGTGACATACTTTCGTTTTCCACGAATGCGAATGCGCGTCTATGGTGAATTTAAAACGAGGTCAAACAAGTAATCATTCGTAAGATAAATTGCCCTACGCTGAGCAGGGCCAGCGAAACTTAGACTAAAAAGATCTGCGCCCCCGAACGCTGCCTCTATCCCTCTGCAACTGAAAATGAGATTCAACACCAATAATACAACGTATCTTCAAGTTATAGTATTCTATTCACAGACAAATTAAGAAATACAGGTTTTGGCGAGCCCCGATTATTGTATTTGATGCACAGCCAGGGGAGTTGCCACACTAAGTGATAGAAACGCTGAAACACAGATCACTTAAAAAAAAACAAAAAAACCTTACGATAATAATACAGGCCCTGAGTTTCTTATGCTGGCAACAAATATAGGAATTGTTTTAAAATTTGGCCAGCTAAACACTAAGGTAGTCGCAAATTCAGAGGTGTTTCAATGTACGGTCCGTGTACCAGGATGTAGTAACTCCGCTGCGATTAATTATGTTCTGCAAGAAATGAGATGAACAACAGTGAAAATAAAATATTTTCGCGCACCTCCACTCGTAGCTCGTTTAGCCAAAGCATCGATTGTAGAACTTTATGATTAATTTAGGGTTTCATTAAATGTCCTTCCTTCTCCCTCCACTCGCTCTTTTTTAAATCTGGATGACCATCGCTCATCTTTGTTAATACTGGAGGATTCAAGTAAACAACATAAAACACTTTAGCGGTCGTTATGTGCTTGTTAACTTACCAATCTAGAGAGGAATGTTTTGCCACAATCCCATGAGCGACTGAACTTCTGTTGTCTAATAATTCAAGCAAGTTAACTTGAAATATTAGACTGCCGAGATAGACAAAATTCATCTTCAATTTGAGAGTATTTGAT